AGTACAGTGGGGGGGGGGTTCTTAGCGCAGAACTCGGTGGGAAGGGCGGCACGCAGGCGAGCATCACTAGTGCGAAGGTGGGTGATAAGATCGGCGACTGTAGTAAAGGTGGACAGATCGGGGAACAGGTACGGCAGCATGAGGCGGCTAAGCTCGGCTGTGGCAGGCGAGGAGTAGCGAGCAACGACAGCATCGTACAGGGCCTTAGCGGATTTGCAGTCGCCAAAATGCTCGAGCTCAGCTAGCGGCAGGTGACTACGAATGGCTAGGCGAGCAGCTGCGTCACGAGTCTGCCAGTGGGAACGAACACTAAGCTCGGCTGTGGCAGCAGGAGCAGCGGCAGCACCAGACGCGTAGTCATAGAGGGAGATGTGGTCCGTGCTATTGCTCATAAGATACAACTGCAGGTCGTCGAGCCAGGAAGTGAACTGCACGGGACGGCCCTCAGCATCGAAGGAAAGAACGCGAATAGAGGCCATAGCTCAGGCGTGAGGGCACAGCAGAGCAGCGGCAGCAGCAGAGGGGACGCAGCAAGCGGGCAGTGAGGCAGCGGGCGGCGCTGCGAAGCAGGTAGCGGGCGGGCGGGCGGCGCTGCGAGCGGGCAGCGAAGCGGGCGGGCCGCGAAGCGGGCAGCGAGCGGGCGGGCGGGCTGCGAAGCGGGCAGCGGGGCGAGCGGGCTGCGAAGCAGGCGGGGCGCGAAGCGGGCAGCGAGCGGGCGGGCGGGCTGCGAAGTGGGCGGGCCGCGAAGCGGGCAGCGGGGCGAGCGGGCTGCGAGGCGGGCGGGCCGCGAAGCGGGCAGCGAGCGGGCGGGCGGGCTGCGAAGCGGGCGGGCCGCGAAGCGGGCAGCGAGCGAGCGGGCTGCGAAGCGGGCGGGCCGCGAAGCGGGCAGCGAGCGGGCGGGCGGGCCGCGAAGCGGGCAGCGAGCGGGCGAGCGGGCTGCGAAGCGGGCGGGCCGCGGAGCGGGCAGCGAGCGAGCGGGCTGCGAAGCGGGCGGGCCGCGAAGCGGGCAGCGAGCGGGCGGGCGGGCTGCGTGGCGGGCGGGCCGCGAAGCGGGCAGCGAGCGGGCGGGCGGGCTGCGAAGCGGGCAGCAGGACGAGCGGGCTGCGAGCGGGCGGCTCGGCGGGCGGGCGACACTGCGAGGGGCGCGCGAGGGCGCTAGTGAGGGGCGCGCGAGGGCGCTAGCAAGGGGCGCGCGAGGGCGCTAACGAGGGGCGCGCGAGGGCGCTAACGAGGGTGCGCGCGAGGGCGCTAACGAGGGGCGCGCGAGGGCGCTAACGAGGGCGCACGAGGGCGCTACGAGGCTAGGGCACGGGGTAGCGTGGTAACCGCATGCGAGCGGTGGTGGGCCCTTAAAAAAAAAACGGTCGGTAGGTCCTAGGGACCTCCTGCTCTGAATACCATTTCAGAATAGCTAGGCAAGAATGATTGAACTAGCAGAAGTTTGGGTACAAATATGAAACCCTAGTTGGGGTTGTACCCCATATTGGCTACCCCACTACAGCCTACAAGCATAATACAGTTTAACACCATCCTCCCCCAAGCTCTCTCCACGGAATCTGCCCCCGTTCCCCCCATCCTCTTACCTGTTTCCCCGTATCCCCTGCCCTGCTTCCCCCCATCCCTCCCTCATCCCTCTCCTGCATCCACCCATCCCCTTCCCGGCTTCCCCCCATCCCCTACACTGTTTCCCCCCATCCCCTTTCCTGTTTCCACCCATCCCCTTCCCTGCTTCCCCCCATCCCCTTCCCTGCTTCCCCCCATCCCCTCCCTTGCTTTCCCCCATCCCCTTCCCTGCTTCCCCCCATCCCCTTCCCTGCTTCCCCCCATCCCCTTCCCTGCTTCCCCCCATCCTCTCCCCTGTTTCCCCGTATCCTCTGCCCTGCTTCCCCCCATCCCCTGCCCTGTTTCCCCCCATCCCCTTCCCTGCTTCAACGCATCCCCTTCCCTGCTTCCCCCCATCACCTTCTCTGTTTCCCCCCATCCCCTGCCCTGTTTCCCCCCATCCCCTTCCCTGTTTCCACCCATCCCCTTCCCTGCTTCCCCCCATCCCCTTCCCTGCTTCCCCCCATCCCCTTCCCTGCTTCCCCCCATCCCCTTCCCTGCTTCCCCCCATCCCCTTCCCTGCTTCCCCCCATCCCCTTCCCTGCTTCCCCCCATCCCCTTCCCTGCTTCCCCCCATCCTCTCCCCTGTTTCCCCGTATCCTCTGCCCTGCTTCCCCCCATCCCCTGCCCTGTTTTCCCCCATCCCCCTCCCTGCTTCCCCCCATCCCCTCCCCTGCATCCCCCCATCCCCTTCCCTGCTTCCCCCCATCCCCTTCCCTGCTTCAACCCATCCGCTCCCCTTCTTCAACCCATCCCCTTCCCTGCCTCCCCCCATCCCCTTCCCTGTCTCCGTGTTACCCGTTTCCATGTCCCTTTTCCCTGTGTCCCTCTTCCCTGTGTCTCCCCACAATCTGTTCTGTTTCCTTACCGCCTGCCCTCCTTACATCCTCAAATCCTTCCCTTCTCATCTGCGCGCATGTGTGGCGGAAGGTGCACGTGGTGCGGAGCATGTTGGCGCTGGGGTACGACGTGGTATTCACTGATCGTGCGGTTTTCTGGGGTGTCAACTCGCGCGCCATCGTCGCCAACGCCGATCTCTCTCTGCACGGTGCGCAGCAACACGCACGCGCATGCTCAAGTTCTTCGATGACTGGATCTCCTGGCACAAGTGATGAGCTTCTCTCTCTCTCTCACCTTGCGCATATGCTGCCCCCCCTTGTGCCTGCCGCCTGCTGTCCACGCCTTCCATCCCACCTCTCCCTTACCACGTCTGTTTCTATATGTGCCCAATCGCTCTCGCTCTTCCACTCACTCTACTCTCTCCCCATTCCCTCCCCCTTTGCTCCCCCTCTTCCTTGCGGCAGTATCAACAAGACTAGGCAAGAATGATTGAAAGGAGAGGGGTTTCACTAGCAGCAGTTGGGGTACATATAGCAAACCCTAACTGGGTTGTACTCGCTATAGAGCACCCCACTACAGGCTAGACAATAATAACATTCTGACAGGCAGGCCACCGAAGCACCGCATCCAGCAGATCTTTGACTGGATCTGCCCTGAGGCGAGCTGGCGGAGCTGTGAGGCAGCCTCCTCTCGAGACTGCCTTCAGCCTCCCCTGCTGCCCCATACCCTCTGCCTTCAGGCAAGGAGTTGAAGGTGGATCATGGGGCAAGGGTAAGGGAGTGTGTCGTGCGGCATGGTCAGTGCGGAGTGGCGTGGGAGGGAGGCACAAAGGCAAGCACAGGGTGAAGGCAGGCAGGGGCCGCTGCAAAAATACCGAGATTGGGTGTCAGCAGGATGCCGCAGAGTGTTGATGCGGGAGGGGGCAGGCAGACTGACAGGAATGCTGACGGCAGCGCACGTCAAGGCATGTGCAGTGGGGCAAGGCTGGTCTGCGCTGCGGTGGGCCAGGGAAGTGCAGAGTGGTGCAGTAATGGCACGGCATATCGCTATATGTGGCCAGCCGAGACCCTTATCAGTTGAGGGATCTGAGCTTGAGAGTGTGTTGCTATGTGTTTCTTGATATGTCCTTTTTATGATTCACAATTTTCCTTCAATGCTTTTCTGCGCCAATTCAGCACTACGTTTTGTTATCTTGAAGTGATGCCTCAAGACCATCCGAATATCTTAATTAGAAATTGTAAAAATAGCTTTCACTGTACTGCCTCACTCTTTCTCGTGTGAGAGTTTCGCGTTTCGTGTTGCCCACATTTCAATCCCAAGAGAAGCGCAGTGTGCCCCACCAGTGGCGGGGCGGGAGCAGTGCTCTGTCGCACGCTGAGTCGTTCGGCTCTCCCATTCTCGGAATCAGCTGTCGCAAAGTATCGTGGCGAAGGCTGTTTTACCCGCCTCCTGCATTCGCTTTCGTCTCACTCACATTTTCGAAATACACGATTTTCAGGTTTTCGCCAGACTATTTCAACCTCACATAACTTGAAAAATTACCATGCTGACCTCGGGCTTTAAAACCAAAAATTAGCCCTGGACGCGACTCGAGAAATTAGGGATTGAGACACAAATGTCAAGATGAGAATGTACCCTTATAGTGAACAAGTGAGAATGTTGGAAAGTAGTTTGTAAAACTAGGAATTGGAAAGCTAGAAGAGTTGAGTGCCACGTGGCACAAGGAAATATGGTAAATCCCAAAGGGATTGGATGAAGATAAGGTTGGGATGGGATTAGGTTGGGGGCACTGTTTAGGGTAAACCACCCTTGAACAGTAAACTACCCCGTAACAGGTACAGCCTGACGCACTAAAACATTATTACAACTGGCCGCTACCACGTCTGCTTGGCTGCTTCCTCTGGTCCAGCCACCCTTGTTCTCAGCCTCAGCATCTAAGCGCACATTCACTCTATCAACCATGACCTACGCTCCCAAATACGGAGAGCAATCTACCTACCACACCACCAGACACAGAAAAGAGTTTGTTGGCAGAAAACTCAAAGTGGCCTAAATTGCTGAGTGCAGAGTGCTCCTCTCGGGCACACCATCGCGCACAGCACAGCGACATCAAGCAGCTACCTCCACCTCCTGCCCGCCAGCCATCTCCTTCCCCTCTCCATCTTCCTCCCTCTCCTCTCCCCCCCCCTGCCCCTCACCCGCCTCTGCAGCAGCATGGAGTCTGGCCTCGCGAGCTCACCGTTTGAGGCCTTGTTGGGACCGTTGGAGTGCATGGCGGTACACATCACACGTAGCCCGGAGGGCGAGGGGGCATATGGAGGCCTTCGCGGAATCAAGCAGCAACCTCCACCTCCTGCCCCCGACCCATCTCTTGACCCACCTCCCTCCCCTCTCTCCCCACTGCCCCTCACCCCCCTCTGCAGCAGCGAGGCGTGTGGCTTTACGAGCTTGCTGACTGAGGGCACGGCGGTAAACGTACCCCGGGGGGCGAGGGCTCGTGGTGCCAAGCATAGTGGCGTCGCATGATGGCCACACAGCCCTTCAGGGTATCTGCTGACTCAGGCGGCCACCTCCACCTCCTGCCCCTCTCCCACCTCCTTCCCCTCTTCCACCCCCTGCCCCTCACCCACCTCTGCAGCAGCGAGGCGTCTGGCCTTGCGTGCTCGCCGCTTGAGGGCACGGCGGGACACGTAGCCGGGGGGGCGGGGAGGGGGGGCGATGGGCAGGTAGGTGTGCAGACGCTGGTAGGGCTCGGGACGGGCAAGGAAGGGGCGCAGGCGCGGAGCAGCAGCGCACTCGGTGCTGCAGGCGCCATTCATGGCTTGGGCACATGCAGAGCAGAACCTGAGGGTTGGAGGGTACGGGGAGGGCAGGTAAGGGCAGGGGGGAGGCAGAGGGTGAGCTGAGAGAGAGCTGGGGGGGGGTGGGGGGGGGGGATGGGCAGGTAGGTGTGCAGGCGCTGGTAGGGCTCGGGGCGGGTGAGGAAGGGGCACAGACGGGGAGCAGCAGAACACTCGGTGCTGCAAGCGCCATTCATTTCTTGAGCGCATTTGGACCAGAAGCTGAAGAGGGGAGAGGATAGGGGGAGGGCAGGGAAGGGCGAGTGGGGGGCAGAGAGGGGAGGTGGGTGTGCAGTCGCCGGTACAGCTCCGGACGGGCGAGGAAAGAGTGCAGAGAGGGGCAACGGCACACTCGGCGCTGCAGGCACCATTCATGGCTTGAGCACACATGGAGCAGAAGTTGAGAAGAAGAGTGGAGAGGGAATGGGAAAGGTGGGAGAGAAGGGCAGTGGGAGATAAGGAGCAGCAGCGCACTTCGTGCTGCAGGCGCCCCTCATGGCTTGAGCGCACTTGCAGGAGACTCTGGGGAGGAGGGGGAGGGGGAAAGGGGAGGGGGAAGAGGGAGGTCAGGGACCATGCCCCTCACACCATGCCCCTCACACCATGCCCCTCACACCATGCCCCTCACACCATGCCCCTCACACCATGCCCCTCACACCCCAAAAGAAGAGTCTCGATCGAAACTCACAGAATGAGGGCGTTGCAGTCAGAATTGGCACAGTTGCGATGCTTCACCTCCTCCAACCGCCCTCCACACCTCTGACACTCCACACTCTCCTCCTCTTCCCCTTCCGCTGCCCCCATCACTCCCCCCATCACCTCCCCCAACACCTCCCCAACCCTCTCCACCCCTTCCTCCTCCGCAGCCCGCAGCACCTTCCCCCCAACCTGGTAATCCCTGGGCGGCACAGCCAGCCGCGAGTCAAACACAAAAAGCCGCCCGTTCCAGTGCTCGCCGCCCTGCTCGCGCATGTACCGAGCGACGCCGCCCTCAAGCGTGTAGAGGCGCTTAAAGCCCTGCTGTTGGAGCAGCGCGGAGTACACGTCACAGCGAATGCCCCCCGTGCAGTACATGAGGACCTCTGTTTCCTCCTTGTCTGCTTCTGCTAGCGGGTCGTATGCCCCCTCCTGTCCCCCTGCCTCCTCTTCTTCCTCCTGATGCTGCTTCTGTTGCTGCTGCTGCTCTGCTGTGGTGGCTTCAGTGTGGTCCTGGAAGCGCGTGAAAGAGAGTTGGCAGATAGGACTGTTGAATCGGGCGGTGGGGAACAAGAACACGCGCAGTGCAGCGAAGACCCACCCACCCTCCCAGGCAACACTTTCATACGACCCTCTTCCATCCTACCACTTCTTTTGTATCTCCACACCCCTAGTCATCTCCATACCCCTAGTCATCTCCACCCACCCACCACTACAGTCCAAAAGAGCCACTTGGGGGCACCACTACAGTCCAAAAGAGCCACTTGGGGGCACACCCACCCATATCATCTGAGCTGCGTGCGGAAAGTGCAAGCCTCACCTCTTGCAGGCCGAACTCGGTGGATCGGAAGTTGTCAACGGGAGGGCGCACTGCCCCGGCAAAATGCCCCACGTCCCACTCGTAGCCTGGTGGAAAGGAGAAGGAGAAGTCATTTTAAGAATTCTCAAGAGTGAGAAGGAGGAGGGAAGGGAGGGGAAGGGGGAGAGGGGGGGGGGAAGGGGCGGGGGAGAGGTGGGACCAGAGGGAACGGGAACCGGATGGACACTGGATGATGCTACTGACATGGAGTGATAATAGGCATCTCACTCGCACACTGACCCTCGTCCCGCTCATTGCCTAATGCGGGGGAAAAGGGAGAGAGGCAGGGGCGAAGGTGGGGGGAAGACTGAGAGGCAGTAAGGGGGAGAGGGAGGAAATGGATGGCAGTTAGGGGGAGAGGGAGGAAATGGATGGCAGTTAGGGGGAGAGGGAGGAAATGGATGGCAGTTAGGGGGAGAGGGAGGAAATGGATGGCAGTTAGGGGGAGAGGGAGGAAATGGATGGCAGTTAGGGGGAGAGGGAGGAAATGGATGGCAGTTAGGGGGAGAGGGAGGAAATGGATGGCAGTTAGGGGGAGAGGGAGGAAATGGATGGCAGTTAGGGGGAGAGGGAGGAAATGGATGGCAGTTAGGGGGAGAGGGAGGAAATGGATGGCAGTTAGGGGAAGAGGGAGGAAATGGATGGCAGTTAGGGGGAGAGGGAGGAAATGGATGGCAGTTAGGGGGAGAGGGAGGAAATGGATGGCAGTTAGGGGGAGAGGGAGGAAATGGATGGCAGTTAGGGGGAGAGGGAGGAAATGGATGGCAGTTAGGGGGAGAGGGAGGAAATGGATGGCAGTTAGGGGGAGAGGGAGGAAATGGATGGCAGTAAGGGGGAGAGGGAGGAAATGGATGGCAGTTAGGGGGAGAGGGAGGAAATGGATGGCAGTTAGGGGGAGAGGGAGGAAATGGATGGCTAGCGGGGGGGACTATTGAGAATAGCAGCGTGTCTACCAGCAGTCACCCACCATTGCGCACGTCCAGCAGCAGAATCTTCTTGGTGCGCGCTACTGCCTCCTCCCCACGCCCCATGCTCTCCCCATCTTCCCCGCTTTCCCCCTCCCCTTCCCCCCGCTGCATCTGGTCGATCTTGCTGCGCCATTCAGCAGGCGACAGGGGCGTGGCGGCACAGAGGTCCGCAGACAGGTGCTGCATGCCTCCTGCCACCTGGGGCGTAGGAAGAGGCAGGGAGTGAGGAAGGACCGGGGGAAGGGATGTATGAAGATGTGTGGGCGAGTGGCCGACAGAGGCGTGGCGGCACACTGGTCGGCTCGGCAGACAGGCGCTCCATGCCTCCTGCCACCTGACGGTGGGGCAACATGACGGGGAGGGGGTTGGGGGAATGGGGAAGCACGGGAGAAAGAGGAGACAGGTGCGTGGAGGCGCAGAGGTCTGCAAACAGCTGCAGCATGCCTCCGGTGGCAAAGGGGGGAGGGGTTGGGGGGAGTGGGGAAACACAGGGGTGTCAGGATTCGTGGCGGGTGTGGGACAGGGGCGTGGAGGCGCAGAGGTCTGCAAACAGCTGCTGCATGCCTCCTGCCAGCTGGCGTAGCACATGGGGGAAGAAATGGACGCGGAAGCACCGGGTGGGTTTTGAGTTGACTCACAAAATGGGTGCGGAAGCACCGGGTGTGGCGGCACCCAAATCAAAAGAGAGCTGCTCAGTGCCTCCTAAACCCGGGAAGAAGGGGAGGATGACCTACCCTCACTGCAAAAGGTAGCACAAGGTACAGTGTGGTGCTGCAGACAAAAGAACCCACCTGCACGAGGGCTGGCTTGTAGCGCAGGCGGAGGCGAGGGAAGGCGTGGCCGATGGGGGAGGGCGACAGCTGCAGCGGTACTCCCGCAAAGCGCTGATCGCTGCGCACCCAGTCTGCGTACTCCATCACATGTGAGGCTGGCCCGCTGAGCTGCGCGGGAGGAGAAGTGTGTGTGGAGGGAGCAATGGGGGCAGGTCAAGGTGGGCGTCGCTGCGCACCCCCTTGACATACTCCATCATGTGGGAGGCTGGGCCACTGAGCTGCGAGGGAGGAGAAGTGTGTGTGGAGGGAATGTGGAGAGCAACAGGAGGGTGTGAGAGCAGATAGGGGCAACGCACTGGTCGTTGCACACCCATTCGGCGTACTCCATCACGTGGGTGGATGGGTGGGTGGGCCGCTGAGCTGCGAGGGAGGAAGGTGGAGATGATGAGATGAAGAGAGAAGAGAATGGGGATGGGAAAGGGAGAGTTGACGTGACGAGAGGGATGGGAGAGACCGGGGTCACTGCGCTGCGCTGCGCACCCATTCGGTGTGATGGTCACCCATTCGGGATCACTCAATGAGCTGATGGTTTTGGGAGAAGAAAGCGTGATTCATGAGTGGGATGGGGAAGACATAGACCACTGCACCGCACGCACACCCACTCGGGGTATCCCAACATGTGTGAGGCTCTAGCGCTAAGCTGTGAGAAGGTGTGACGAGGGGAGGTAGAGAGGAGAGGAACGAATGGCTGACAAGGCTTAGGCAGGCAGGGCCGTTGAGCTGATGCGGCAGGTTGAAACTTGGAATGTGAGAAGCCAGGGGAGCAAGGGGTTCAATTCAAGAGCTTTTGCACCTCACATGTGGCATGGCACACGCTTTGCTCATATGAGATGCAACGACATGCACCATCTCGCTCTCCCTCTCCTCTCCCGATCGCTCTCCCTCTCCTCTCCCTCTCCGCTCTCTCTCCTCTCCCGATCGCTCTCCCTCTCGCTCTCCTCTCACTCTCGCAAGTAGAATAGCTGAACGGTACAGTGCGGTGCTGGGGAAGGACAAGGCAAAAACAAGTAACTGCATTCTTTGATGGGAATTCTGTAGAGCTGTATTGGCTCTAAGCCTTGACCCGGAACTTAACCCCTGAACCTTAACCCCTGAACCTTAACCCCTGAACCTTAACCCCTAAACCTTAATCCCTGAGCCCCAAATCTTGAATCATGCATGCTGCACCGCTGGGCCATGCCCGGCGCCACACTCAGATCTGCCCCACCACCACCACCTCCCGTGCCCCACCTTCCGTGCCCCACCTCCCGTGCCCCTGCTTATAGTCCACGCCTGTGCTACTGTGCTACTCTTGGCTTGTGGCGCGGCAGCAATGTCTCAGCGCGTGAAAAGCCACCTCCTCCACCACACCTGCATTGCCTTTAGCATCATTAACCTTCTAAGGCCCCTCATCGCCTCTCCTGCCTCATCGCCTCTCCTGCCTCATCGCCTCTCCTGCCTCATCGCCTCTCCTGCCTCACCGGCCGTCCTGCCTCACCGGCCGTCCTGCCTCACCGGCCGTCCTGCCTCACCGGCCGTCCTGCCTCACCGGCCGTCCTGCCTCACCGGCCGTCCTGCCTCACCGGCCGTCCTGCCTCACCGGCCGTCCTGCCTCACCGGCCGTCCTGCCTCACCGGCCGTCCTGCCTCACCGGCCGTCCTGCCTCACCGGCCGTCCTGCCTCACCGGCCGCCCTGCCTCGCGTGCTCAAGTGCTCCTTGTGCCTTACCTGTGCGTTGATGCCCTGGTGGCTGATGTATATCCTGCCTCGAATGTCCCGCTCCTGACACACGCACACACACATGCGCACAAGGTGCGAAAGAAAGAGGACAGTTTAGCCGGCAAAGACGGAGGGGCCAGAGTGGACGGAGGGAGGGAGGGAGGGGAGAGAGTGCAAAGCCCAGCGCTAACGCAGTGGGGCAACTGAGACGCTGAGCTAGCCCACCACATTGGCCACAGCAGTGTAACACCTTGACGTTGACGTTAACGTTAACGAGGGCGAGGACGTTAACTTGCTCATTACCTTCCCCACTACACCACATTTTCGAACCACACCTGCAGGAACGCGCGGTGCCGCTCCACGTCACCATGGGCATCCTCCACGTCAGCAAAGTGGTAGAAGTTGAGCACCAAAAACGGCTCCCCCTGCGCGCTCCTCGCGCCGTCCGCCGCTTCCGTCGCTCCGCCATCCCTGCGCTCCGCGGAGCCTTCCCCCGCGGGAGCTGCCGCGGAACTTTCTGGAGCCGACACAGAGGCCGCGCTATCGTGCGCCTGCGCGCGGCATGCTCCGCGCAGGCGGAACGCGGAGAGCAAAGCAGGTGCGCGGGTAAAGCCTGCGCGCGCGTGGGGGGGTGATTGGCAGCGGGAAAAGCAGCTGGAGTGGGCGATGGCGGCGGGGGCTGCAGCAAAGGAGAGTCGCGACGGTAACGGGAGAGCTCGAGCGAGGAGAGGCGAAGGAGGAGAGGGTAGTAACCGTAGTGCCGCCGCTTGCTGCTGCGCGCCGAGCGGTCTGCTGAGTCCCCTTATGACGTCAGCCATGGTGGGGACTCGAAAGCGGAATGTCGGTAGGCTGGAAAGCGCGACTCGAAGGCGCATAGACCGCCCGGTCGCGCGAGATGGACACGGCTGAGCCGATGCGCGACGAGCGGCCACAGCGGCAAAATCGGAGAAGCTTTGAGTTTGTGGAGAAGGAATGATGCGAAGAAAGGCGTGATTTTGTGCCTGGTTTTGTGGCGTTCTTTTATACGTAGTTCTGAAAGGCGGAGGTGGTGGTAGTACAGTATCGCGTACAGAAGATTACCTAGGTTCCAGCGCAGAAAGGCGCAGACCACGTCAGGCCACGTGTTGTGCGTGAAGTGGATGGGAAATATCGCGAGGACACGAAAAACAAACGAACGTATGTACTCGTCACAAGGCTGCCTTTATAAACACAAACACAAACAATTGTATGCGCCGTACCAGTAAAAGTTCACTAAAACGAATCTCCTCAGTGGTCAGAAGCACAACTAGCACTACATCATCACGCAGTCTAGCCTCTCAACAGCCGCGAGTTGTGCTTCTGACCAATCAGCAAGACCGAATCAGCAAAACCGCAAATGTACGCCGTGGAAATTGGCACCTCTGTGCTCCATGCACCATGCTGCAATGCATAAATTAGCAGGGCATGGACCCTCATGGGCTGCTCCTGTGAGATGTGCTGTTCTGCTCGTGCACATCCCTCACGAGCACCATGAGGGTCCATGCCCTGCTCGTGCTCACACTGGTGCTCGTGCTGGTGCCACCACTCCATGCCTGGCGCTGTCAAAAAAGCGCCTTAAATCACGATGGGTAGAGGAGCGAGTGGCGGGGGAGGGGGAGCAGAGCGGGAGGAGGGGCGGCACGTCGGCAGGCGATGGCAGCACTGAAGTGCAGCAGGAGGGAGTTGACTTTACTTAAGCTCAAAGGTCTACTTGCAGGGGGAGGGGGAGTGGACTGGGAGGCGCAGGGGCGTGGCGGCAGGCGATGGCGGCACTGAAGTGCAGCAGGAGAGAGCTGAGTTTAATTCGGCTCAAAGGTCTACTTGCAGGGGGAGGGGGGGCGGAGTGGGAGGGGAGGTATCCTCTCCCACGTCCCCACTGCCTCCCCCATGCGCATCCCTGCACCCGCCAACCCCACAGCACCAGGGTCACTGTGAGCCTTGCTCGCCCACTGCTCCCGTGCTCCCTGCCCACTGCGCTACAGGTCATGCCCTGACCACCATCCCGGCTGCCTCTCCTACCGCTCCTCCCCCTCTTCCTCCTCTTCTTAGCGCCACTCCTCCTGCCGCCGCCATTGCTATTGCTTCTGCTGACCCTGCTGCTGCTGTGCCACCACCGACGGAACCCGAGCTTGCACGGCACAGGCTGCCTTTCTCTCCTCCCCCCGACCGCCCTCGCCCTCCCCATTCTCCCCTCCAATTACCAACTCTCATCAACCACAACAGCAGCAAGCCAAGCAGTACCAACGCGAACAGTAGCAGCAGCGTCTACAGCGGTGAGATGACCCCCACGCTCACAGTGCAGGCCATGGCGCATCTCATCTCGCCACTCCCCCTCCTCCACCTCCCCCTCCCCCCTCTGAACTCCCCCTCCCCCCTGCCCTCCCCCGCCCTCGCCCGCTCCCTCCTGCTGCACTTCAGTGCCGCCATCGCCTGCCGCCGTGCCCCCGCCCCTCCCACTCCGCCCCCCCTCCCCTTCCAAGTTGACGTTTGAGTCAAATCAAAGGTCAACTCCCTCCTGCTGCACTAGTGCTGCTATCGCCTGCCGGAGGGGGAGGAGCATGGGGAGGAGGACGGGGACGATGGAGGATTCGAGAGAGTGAGAGGGGGAGGGGTAGTGAGGGCAGGCGGGGGAATGTGAGGGGGAGAGAGAGTGAGAGAGGGCGGAGAGGTGTTGGTGAGGGCAGGCGAGGGGACGGAGTAGGAGGGAGAGTGTGGCGGCAGGGACGACAGCCAGTCACTGTCGCTGTGCCCACTGCTGCTCATTGTGTTCATGCTGCTGATGCTGGTAGTAGTGGTGCTGGTGCTGGTGCTGGTAGCAGTGCTGCTCGTGGTGGTGGTGGCGGTGCAGTTGTTTGGCTGGCTGGGTTGCACGGGAAGGGTGACAGCGCCAACATGCCCTTTCACTCCCATCGCTACCCCTCCTCGTCCTATCTCCTCCCAAATCCCAACCGCCGCCTCCTTCACAACCGGGGATGCAGCACCACACAGGGTAGCAGCGGCATCCAGGGCGCGAGCACCAGCAGCATCACATGCCACCAGGGCGCCGTGAGAATCACACACGGTGAACTCATCAACTGGCAGCTGCTCACATGCCAGCAACCAGTCAACATGCCCCGCCTGCTCTTCCCCCGACTGCTCCTCCCCCACCTGCTCCCCCACCTGCTCTCGCCCCACCTTCTCCCCCACCACCCGCTCTTCCCCCACTTGCTCCTCCCCCAACTGCTCCCCCGCCACCTGCTCCCCCGCCACCTGCTCCCCCGCCACCTGCTCCCCCGCCACCTGCTCCCCCGCCACCTGCTCCCCCGCCACCTGCTCTTCCTCCACCTGCTCCTCCGCCCCCTGCTCCTCTGCCACTTGCTGCCTAATCTGCTGCTCGCACGCCAGCAACGTTTCCAACTCATCCCCCCACACCTCCTGCTCCGGCTGCTCCTGCTGCGGCTGCTCCTGCTCCTCATCCTGCACCAGTTCCTCCTGCTGCTGTAGCTTCAACTCTTGTTCCTCCTCCATCGTCTCTCCCCTCTCCACACTACCCACACTGCCACCCGCCACACTGCCCGTCACAGCAGCCGCAGCAGCCAAGCTCGCTCCCTCCTCTTGCCTCGCCTCTCCTTCCACGCACGACAATGTCTGGAGCGAACCAAGGGCAGCGAGGGCCGCGCAGGGCCCGGCTATGCCGGCAGAAGGCAGCAAGGCAGGGACGGAGAGGCCAGCGTGTGTGTGGAGGGGGAGCGACGCGGCGCTGTCAGCTGGAGGCAGTAATTCAGGGGCGGCGGGAGCCGCGTTGGCGGGAAGAGGCGCGTTGGCGGAGAGGGCCGCGCAGGCGTGGATGAGAGACTCGGCGATGGCGGGAGGCAGAGGCACCTGCGCACAGTGTGGGAGATGCGGCGAGGGGATCGGGGAGACGTGCTGATTTCGTGCAGGGGGTTGCGTGGCGCGGGTGGGAGTAAGAACACGTGCGACGAGCACGAAGGAGAGGGGCGAGGGGGAGCGCGCGAGAGCCGCCATGGAAAGTCGTCATGTTTGGAGAGGAAAAACAAAAGCTTTCTACACCCCTACCACCAAACGCCTGACATGCCTCGCCTCGCCTCCCTCCCGTCGCCTCGCCTCGCCTCACCTCGCGCTGGTCGTCGGGGAAGTTGAGGATCGCGCCGTCGCCTCGCAGCAGTCGCACGGCGACGTCGTACACCCGCGCCGCCTGCTCCGCGCTGCTGTGCGACCCCAGCCAGATGCGCAAACCCCGCCGCGGCTCGCGGATCTCCGACACCCACCGCCCCCACCGCCGCTGCCGCACTCCGCGGTACTGCCGCTCCGCGCAAAGCGGATCGTCGCTCGGGGAAGGGGGATCCGCGGAGGGGACCGCGCTAGCGTGCGTCGCGCCGGCGGAAGATTGCACGCAGCGCCGCTTGCGACTAGGAATCGACGAGCGTGCCGCTTTGTGCTTACAACCTGTTGCTACTACTCGCGGTTCAGTGGTCTCGCTTGTAGCAAATTGCTCGGAATAACACGGTGTTAGAACCTCGAGGCCTTTGTCCGAACGGACCTCCATTCAACTTCCAGTTGCAATGTCAAATCCCTAGTAGCTTTGACGAGAAATGAGAAATACGAATTTGGGTAACTTGGTTCGAGCCAAGGAGACGGGGAAGAGGAGGAACAGCAGGTGTGGGATTGGCGAGACTTAGCAGGAGCTGTGTGATGTATGTGTGAAATATGCCTCCCGTATTTCCTATGTTTGTTTGTACGCGCTTGAAATTGTTCGTTTGGTCTCATTGGAACTCCTGCGACTGCGACGGCTCTTGTGTTGTTCTGTGCGACTGACATGTTCAGCGGTTTGCGACTCGCAGCTAATGCATCGTCGCTATGCGAAACGGTTCAAGGAAGCCTCGCTGCACCCCCGCTGCTGTTACGACGAGCAGACGACGACAAGCGGTGGCCATCGGTGGGGAGAAGCGCGGAACATTCCAAATAATCTGATTGGCTTGGAAAGACAGCGACAGCAAGTAAACGTCAGACGACCAATGCGGCGTCGCATGACCTTGTAACGCCGACACGGATAGTGTCCAGCATCACCGGAACTATTTGGCCTGCCGCGTTTGACCAGACTCGCTTTCTCAAAGCGTTTTGAATTCCATTGTACAATTGACCCCTTTACTGCGCGATTGTCTCACCGGTATATTGAAAGATAATTGCATATTGCAATTCTTTGTCAACGTCTGATTCGTAATACATCACCAAAACCATGTCGCCAAAAGGACGAGTGGTGAGCCTAAATTTCTGATTCAGGGTATATTACATGTTAGACATCCACACCTTAATCAAGGCAAGGGTTCTTGCACATTGGCGAGACGGTTGAGGTGGAGGTAGACATCTGTGCCATAACCCTCCATTGACACCACCTGCAGGTCACCTCCAAAGTACCGTGCATACAGCCGACTGATAGGCAAACCATAGCCATAGCCCGCCCTGCTCAATACAACCACACGCAGCACAATCACAGTCAAACACAAGGTAATACGTGCTAAGCAAACGTCCTGGTCCTGGTAATGGACTGTGTGGATGGTGTGGAAGGAGAGGGTGGAGGGTGAATGTAAGGTCAGAGAGTGCATGGAGTTCTGGAGGCGCACATTTGGTAGGAGCAGCACCCCACCACACAACCCACACTTCCCACCCCACCACACCAGCAGAGCGCCATTGGCGTGCACACACAACATCACATCACATATCTCACACACCACATACACCCCACACACAACCCCAGCAGCACACACATGATGGAGGGCGTGTCCTGCAGAACGCCAGCACCATGCACATCACATATCTCACATCACATACACCCCAAACACACACCAACACACCCCCCACCCCCCCAGCAGCAGCAGCACGCACATGATGGAGTGCGTGTCTTGCAGAGCTCCATCACCATCCACATCACATCTCTCACACAGCACATACACCTCATACACACACCAACACCCTCCCCCCTCCCGCCCCTCCACCACCAGCAGCACCAGCAGCACCAGCAGCACGCACATGATAGATGGAGTGTCCTGTAGAGCGCCATTGGCGTGCACACACAACATCACATCACATCACATCTCTCACACATCACATACACCCCACCCCGGCAGCAGCACTAACGTGGTGGAGGGTGTGTCCTGCAGAGCGCCTTTGCCAGGTACATCAAATCTTTCTCGCATCTCACACACCCCCCACACACACACACATCACAAACACCCCACACACCCCACCCCCACCAGCAGCACCACCGGCACGCACATGATGGAAGGCGTGTCCTGCAGAGCGCCAGCGGCAGCAGGCGAGCGGGCAGTGCTGTAGAGGTATGTCCAGATGCGCGGTAAACCACTGCGCGGGATGCCACCCCCCTCGTCTGATATCTGAGGGCGGGGGGAGGGAGGGGGGAGGCAGGGAAGGTAGATGGGGCCACAGCGCAGGGAAGGGAGAAAGGGGACAGAGATGAAGGGGGAAGGCACGCATGACAATGGGGAACAGGGTGTGGTGGTTCTGAGGGAGAGGTGGCAGCAAACTCGCAGGTGAGCGGGCAGTGCTGTAGAGGCAAGTCCAGATGCGCGGTAGACCACTGCATGGGATGCCACCCCCCTTGTCCGATATCTGTGGGCGGAGGGAGGACAGACATCGCATGGTGGTGAAGGAGAGAGGTGGTAGCAGGCGAGTGTGCTGTGCTGTAGAGATACGTCCAGATGCGCGGCAGGCCAGTACGCTACGCGGGATACCCCCTTCCTCGTCGATATCTGCTGCGAAAGTGTGCACACAAGGGGATGGACAGGTGGCTGGCACAGGGGGGAAGGGCATGGAGGCAAGCGAAGCGAGAAACATCTGATTGGCGCAGATTTGAAGGGACAGGAGGAGAGGAGGGAGGGGGGATGAGTGGACTTGGATGCGTGAGAGGCAGGACTGGCAGGTAACACTTCAACAGGCATCTCCACATGAATATTTTCCTTTCCTGCACACCACACGCATGCACAAATATGTAAGAATGTATGTATAGATATACATATATGTATATACTCAGACGCATGCACACATACATAAATTTGAAGATAGAACACACCTTTCTGTGGCCCTTATAACCACATCCCAGCACCACCGACATACCTTTATAGTCACATCCTCGATCCCATCCGCCACCACCACATGGATGGGCGGCGGGTCGACGTCTTTCTCAGGTGCTCATTGTGTGCAGGCCAACATGCTTGAGACCATCCCTGCACCCCTACTGGGATCACATGGAGGTGATTCGGCTGATGGGGCACACATCTCAACATTCATTACAAGAAAATAACCACGTCTAATCACATCCCTTAACCACCCACCGACCTTAATAGTCACATCCTCGATCCCATCCGCCACCACCACGCGGATGGGCGGCGGGTCGGTGTCAGCATCGGCAAATCGCTCCTGCACAGCACGCAGGGAGTTCTTGCAGAGCTCAAAGACCATCTGGTGTAGATGCGTTGGCACGTAGCTGCAGTGCGGTGCAAAGGGGTGGAGATGGGTGAGATGGGAGGAAGTGGGACGGGGGGGATTGAGGAATATGTCGTTCCTGCATGGCGTGCAGGGAGTTCTTGCAAAGCTTAAACACCACCTGGTGTAGGTGGGTTGGCATGCAGCTGTAGTGCAGTGCGGTGCAGAGGGGTTCAGATGGGTGAGATAGGAGGAAATGGAATGGGAGGGATTGAGGGGATGATGCTCCTGCACGGCACACAGGGAGTTGTTGCAGAGCTCGAACACCATCTGGTGTAGATGGGTTGGCACGTAGCTGCAGTGCAAGGTAGTGTACAGACGGGGGGATGGGTGAGAAGTGAGGAAATGGGATGTGGGGGGGAGGTGGTGGTCTGAGGGGATGACGCTCCTGCACGGCGGGCAGAGAGTTCTTGCAAATCTCAAACCCCATCTGGTGCATATGCATTGACACATAGCTACAGTGCGGTGCAACGAGGTGCGGATGGGTGGGGTGGGAGTAAATGGGATGAGGGGGAGATAGAAGGATGCTGCTCCTGCACGGCGCGCAGGGAGTCCTCGAAGAGCTCAGATATCATCGGGTGCAAATGGGTTGGCATATACCTGCAGTGTGGTACAAAGGGTTTCGGATGGGTGGGATGGGGTAGGAGGACTTCCAGAGCAGGATGGTAGAGTAATCAGTAGGCAAGGGGGGCTCTGTTTCTTGTATCGGATTATCCATTTCTGGTAGAAGGGGTTTCAAGATTTGTGCAACAGAGTACACGGGGGTACAGAATTGCAAGCACAGCGCTTGCTGCTCAGAAATGACAGGCAAGGCGGTGTGTGGTCATTGTGTGTGTGTGCATGTGTTCGTGTATGTGTGCATGCGTGTGTGTGTGTGAGAGTACATGCGTGTGTGTGTGTGTATGTGTGTGTGTGTGTGTGTGTGCGTGCATGCGTGCGTGTGTGTGCGCGCACGCACGTGCAAATGCGTATGTGCACTTGTCCGTCATGTGTCTACGAGTGAGTGTCTGCATGTGCACGTTTAGTCCAGAGAGCACGCATACCATGGTGAAATCGGGGTCGCCATGGACGTCCTCATCAGTCACACAGCCATAGATGTGAGAGTGTGTGTGTGTGTGTGAAGAGAGGTGAGTGTGTGTGTGTGTGTGTGTGTGTGTGTGAAGAGAGGTGAGTGTGTGTGTGTGTGTGTGTGAAGAGAGGTGAGTGTGTGTGTGTGTGAAGAGAGGTGAGTGTGTGTGTGTGTGCGTGCGTGCGTGCGTGCGTGTGTGTGTGTGTGTGTGTGTGTGTGTGTGTGTGCATCCACGCGTGTGTGTGCACGTGCATGCATGTGAATTGCAAGCACGCACGCGAATGTGAAGGCGGGGTCGCCATATATCTCCATATGAGGCGCAGAGTCATAGTTGAGTGTGCGCATGCGTGTGTGAGTGTGCGTGTGTGCAGTACAGTGCATCCGGGTGTGAGTGAGAGATGATGCGTGCATGAATGCATGTGGGTGCAAGCAAGCACGCACGCAAAGGTGAAGTCAGGGTCGCCGTATATCTCCACCTCTGGCGCCGAGCCATACGTGCGCATGCATGTGTACATGTGGGTGCACATGTATGGATGTGAGTGCATGTGAACGCATAGGCATGAAAGAACGCACACGAATGTGAAGCCAGAGTCGCCGTATATCTCCACCTCTGGCGCCGAGCCGTAAGTGTATGTGGTGTGTGCATGTGCGCATGCACACATGTAAGCGCACGCACACATGTAAGCACATGAATGCATGTGGGTGCAAGCAAGCACGCACGCGAAAGTGAAGTCAGGGTCGCCATAAATCTCCACCTCGGGCGCCGAGCCATACGTGCGCATGCATGCCGACCGCGCATCATCCACTGCGTTGCGTGCCACATCCACTGGCGACACCTTGGTGCAGATGAGCCTAGTCATAGTTGGGGGGGTGGGGGAGTGGGGGAATGGGGGAGGACAGTGGAGAAGAGAGGAAGAGGGGCAGGGCAGAGAAGGGAGGGGATGAGAGTGTGCACCCCCCTCCACTGCATTGCGTGCGACATCCACTGGTGACGCCTTGGTGCAGTTGAGCCTAGGCACAGCAGCAAGGGCCCGGGAAGGGGGGGGGGGGGGTGGGTTTACACAGGGCAAGCAGGGAATGGCATGATGAGAGCGTCCATCCTCGTCTGCATTTCCCGCCACTTCTATAATCGACACCTTGGTGCACCTGAGACTGGTTCAAGTTTCGGGGAGGGGGGGATGAGGCGAGGGGTGAAGGCGAGTGGAGGAGAGAGGAAGACAGGGATGTGGTGAAGTGAATGTGGTGCAGTGCATGCCTTGTTGCAGAAGTGGCTGTTGGGAATCCCAAGGGGAGAGACAGAGATGCCGAGGGGTGTGGAAAATGGGGCAGCAACAAGGAGGGCGAGGGATCACGCACTGCAGTGCGATTTTTTAGGCGTTTCCAAGCATGCGGTAAAGTGGAAGGGAGAGAGGCGCACCCTATGAAGTGGGGGGGCGGGTTGGGGTCGTGCAGCGCAACATGCTGGCCGATGAGCATGCGGATGCCGATGCGTGACATGTAGAATCGGTCCTGATGGGCATGGGCCGGGGGAGTGGGGAGGGGGAGTGGGGAGGGGGAGTGGGCAGGGAGAGGGGCGCAAGAGAGAGAGAGAGAGAGAGAGAGAGAGAGAGAGATGGGCATGCAGCAATGAGAGACGTGCCCATGCATCCTTCCCAGTGCTGGCCTATGAGCATGCGGACGCCAATGAGTAAAATGTGGAATCGGTCCTGATGGGTGGGTTCAAAGGGAGGGGCGTGCGCAGGGGGAGTGGGGAGGAGCGTGGGGAAGGGGGAAGGGCGTGGACAGGGGTAGTGGGGAGGGCGTGGGAGGGACGTGGGGACAAGTGGCACATTTGATTCCAGCCATAAAAGGATGTGCAATGCAAGCTGCTGAGGCGCTTCGGGCAGTGAGCGCAATGAGGTTGTAGCAGTGGTGACAGCGATAGCAGTGGTGACAGCGATAGCAGTGGTGACAGCGATAGCAGTGGTGACAGCGATAGCAGTGGTGACAGCGATAGCAGTGGTGACAGCGATAGCAGTGGTGACAGCGATAGCAGTGGTGACAGCGATAGCAGTGGTGACAGCGATAGCAGTGGTGACAGCGATAGCAGTGGTGACAGCGATAGCAGTGGTGACAGCGATAGCAGTGGTGACAGCGATAGCAGTGGTGACAGCGATAGCAGTGGTGACAGCGATAGCAGTGGTGACAGCGATAGCAGTGGTGACAGCGATAGCAGTGGTGACAGCGATAGCAGTGGTGACAGCGATAGCAGTGGTGACAGCGATAGCAGTGGTGACAGCGATAGCAGTGGTGACAGCGATAGCAGTGGTGACAGCGATAGCAGTGGTGACAGCGATAGCAGTGGTGACAGCGATAGCAGTGGTGACAGCGATAGCAGTGGTGACAGCGATAGCAGTGGTGACAGCGATAGCAGTGGTGACAGCGATAGCAGTGGTGACAGCGATAGCAGTGGTGACAGCGATAGCAGTGGTGACAGCGATAGCAGTGGTGACAGCGATAGCAGTGGTGACAGCGATAGCAGTGGTGACAGCGATAGCAGTGGTGACAGCGATAGCAGTGGTGACAGCGATAGCAGTGGTGACAGCGATAGCAGTGGTGACAGCGATAGCAGTGGTGACAGCGATAGCAGTGGTGACAGCGATAGCAGTGGTGACAGCGATAGCAGTGGTGACAGCGATAGCAGTGGTGACAGCGATAGCAGTGGTGACAGCGATAGCAGTGGTGACAGCGATAGCAGTGGTGACAGCGATAGCAGTGGTGACAGCGATAGCAGTGGTGACAGCGATAGCAGTGGTGACAGCGATAGCAGTGGTGACAGCGATAGCAGTGGTGACAGCGATAGCAGTGGTGACAGCGATAGCAGTGGTGACAGCGATAGCAGTGGTGACAGCGATAGCAGTGGTGACAGCGATAGCAGTGGTGACAGCGATAGCAGTGGTGACAGCGATAGCAGTGGTGACAGCGATAGCAGTGGTGACAGCGATAGCAGTGGTGACAGCGATAGCAGTGGTGACAGCGATAGCAGTGGTGACAGCGATAGCAGTGGTGACAGCGATAGCAGTGGTGACAGCGATAGCAGTGGTGACAGCGATAGCAGTGGTGACAGCGATAGCAGTGGTGACAGCGATAGCAGTGGTGACAGCGATAGCAGTGGTGACAGCGATAGCAGTGGTGACAGCGATAGCAGTGGTGACAGCGATAGCAGTGGTGACAGCGATAGCAGTGGTGACAGCGATAGCAGTGGTGACAGCGATAGCAGTGGTGACAGCGATAGCAGTGGTGACAGCGATAGCAGTGGTGACAGCGATAGCAGTGGTGACAGCGATAGCAGTGGTGACAGCGATAGCAGTGGTGACAGCGATAGCAGTGGTGACAGCGATAGCAGTGGTGACAGCGATAGCAGTGGTGACAGCGATAGCAGTGGTGACAGCGATAGCAGTGGTGACAGCGATAGCAGTGGTGACAGCGATAGCAGTGGTGACAGCGATAGCAGTGGTGACAGCGATAGCAGTGGTGACAGCGATAGCAGTGGTGACAGCGATAGCAGTGGTGACAGCGATAGCAGTGGTGACAGCGATAGCAGTGGTGACAGCGATAGCAGTGGTGACAGCGATAGCAGTGGTGACAGCGATAGCAGTGGTGACAGCGATAGCAGTGGTGACAGCGATAGCAGTGGTGACAGCGATAGCAGTGGTGACAGCGATAGCAGTGGTGACAGCGATAGCAGTGGTGACAGCGATAGCAGTGGTGACAGCGATAGCAGTGGTGACAGCGATAGCAGTGGTGACAGCGATAGCAGTGGTGACAGCGATAGCAGTGGTGACAGCGATAGCAGTGGTGACAGCGATAGCAGTGGTGACAGCGATAGCAGTGGTGACAGCGATAGCAGTGGTGACAGCGATAGCAGTGGTGACAGCGATAGCAGTGGTGACAGCGATAGCAGTGGTGACAGCGATAGCAGTGGTGACAGCGATAGCAGTGGTGACAGCGATAGCAGTGGTGACAGCGATAGCAGTGGTGACAGCGATAGCAGTGGTGACAGCGATAGCAGTGGTGACAGCGATAGCAGTGGTGACAGCGATAGCAGTGGTGACAGCGATAGCAGTGGTGACAGCGATAGCAGTGGTGACAGCGATAGCAGTGGTGACAGCGATAGCAGTGGTGACAGCGATAGCAGTGGTGACAGCGATAGCAGTGGTGACAGCGATAGCAGTGGTGACAGCGATAGCAGTGGTGACAGCGATAGCAGTGGTGACAGCGATAGCAGTGGTGACAGCGATAGCAGTGGTGACAGCGATAGCAGTGGTGACAGCGATAGCAGTGGTGACAGCGATAGCAGTGGTGACAGCGATAGCAGTGGTGACAGCGATAGCAGTGGTGACAGCGATAGCAGTGGTGACAGCGATAGCAGTGGTGACAGCGATAGCAGTGGTGACAGCGATAGCAGTGGTGACAGCGATAGCAGTGGTGACAGCGATAGCAGTGGTGACAGCGATAGCAGTGGTGACAGCGATAGCAGTGGTGACAGCGATAGCAGTGGTGACAGCGATAGCAGTGGTGACAGCGATAGCAGTGGTGACAGCGATAGCAGTGGTGACAGCGATAGCAGTGGTGACAGCGATAGCAGTGGTGACAGCGATAGCAGTGGTGACAGCGATAGCAGTGGTGACAGCGATAGCAGTGGTGACAGCGATAGCAGTGGTGACAGCGATAGCAGTGGTGACAGCGATAGCAGTGGTGACAGCGATAGCAGTGGTGACAGCGATAGCAGTGGTGACAGCGATAGCAGTGGTGACAGCGATAGCAGTGGTGACAGCGATAGCAGTGGTGACAGCGATAGCAGTGGTGACAGCGATAGCAGTGGTGACAGCGATAGCAGTGGTGACAGCGATAGCAGTGGTGACAGCGATAGCAGTGGTGACAGCGATAGCAGTGGTGACAGCGATAGCAGTGGTGACAGCGATAGCAGTGGTGACAGCGATAGCAGTGGTGACAGCGATAGCAGTGGTGACAGCGATAGCAGTGGTGACAGCGATAGCAGTGGTGACAGCGATAGCAGTGGTGACAGCGATAGCAGGGGTGACAGCGATAGCGATAGCAGTGGTGACAGCGATAGCAGTGGTGACAGCGATAGCAGTGGTGACAGCGATAGCAGTGGTGACAGCGATAGCAGTGGTGACAGCGATAGCAGTGGTGACAGCGATAGCAGTGGTGACAGCGATAGCAGTGGTGACAGCGATAGCAGTGGTGACAGCGATAGCAGTGGTGACAGCGATAGCAGTGGTGACAGCGATAGCAGTGGTGACAGCGATAGCAGTGGTGACAGCGATAGCAGTGGTGACAGCGATAGCAGTGGTGACAGCGATAGCAGTGGTGACAGCGATAGCAGTGGTGACAGCGATAGCAGTGGTGACAGCGATAGCAGTGGTGACAGCGATAGCAGTGGTGACAGCGATAGCAGTGGTGACAGCGATAGCAGTGGTGACAGCGATAGCAGTGGTGACAGCGATAGCAGTGGTGACAGCGATAGCAGTGGTGACAGCGATAGCAGTGGTGACAGCGATAGCAGTGGTGACAGCGATAGCAGTGGTGACAGCGATAGCAGTGGTGACAGCGATAGCAGTGGTGACAGCGATAGCAGTGGTGACAGCGATAGCAGTGGTGACAGCGATAGCAGTGGTGACAGCGATAGCAGTGGTGACAGCGATAGCAGTGGTGACAGCGATAGCAGTGGTGACAGGGCAGCAGTAAAGGCAGGGCGACAGGGGTGCGGGCAGTGAGTACAGGGGTGGCAGGGAAGGCAGGGCAGGAGAGGGGAGGAAGGTGAGGGGACGTACGAGGAACTGGTGGATCTCCAATAGGTCGTCCAGCCGGCCCTTGCGCCCCAGGTCCTGCTTCAACTCGTTGATGCCCATCGCCATCTGCCTAGTATGCCATGCCATGCCATGCCATGCTATGCCATGCCATGCCATGCCATGCCACACGCATTGAACATGGAGCACCGAACAGCATATAAGACGAAACTCACTGACCACCACCACATACACACGCTCGTCCTGTCCACATGCAAATGGCTTTCCCCTCCAACCCAACCTAACACCCGCCCACTCACCGTGGGGATGACGTTGTTGTGGCGCATCTTGACCTGCGCCAGCAGGTGCGTGAAGCTCAACTCGCCCTGTCCACAGGGGAACGGCCTTTTCTCTCCAAACCAACGCACACCCAATCAACGTGGGGTTGGCTCACCGTGGGGATGACGTTGTTGTGGCGCATCTTGACCTGCGCCAGCAGGTGCGTGAAGCGCAGCTCCTCCTCGCGGCTCTCAATGGCGGGGAACCCGCGGATGTCCTTGAACGAGTCCACGTACCAGTCGCGGACCTGGGCACATGCACACACACGCGCAATGGGGCGGAGTGGACCATGGAAAGGACTGAGAAAGTGAGAAAGGCACCCCGCGGATGACTTTTAACGAGTCCATGTACCAGTCACGCACCTGTGAGGGCGAGAGCAGACGAGGGGAGTGAGTAACGTACGAGGGGAGTGAGTAACGTACGAGGGGTATGATGAAGGGTAAAGAGGGCGAACAGGGCGCAAGGGAATGAGGGCGGGAACCCGCGGATGACCTTGAACGAGTTTACGTACCAGTCATGCACCTGGGTGGAGACGAGGGGGCGAGGGGAATGAGTAAGAGGGGTACGAGGGCGAAGAGGACCCAATTGGGTGAGAACGAGAACCCGCAGATGTCCTTGAGCGGGAACCCGCAGATGTCCTTGAGCGGGGGAAGAAGCTCAACTTGAGCACGGGGGCTTTGGTTGGTGGAGAGGCCGTATGGGAGGAGCTCCGTGAGTACGAGGGAGCAGGGGAATGAGTGGGGTGAGAGGGGTACAGAGCGAACAGGGCCCACGGGAGTGAGAAAGCAGCTGACCTTGAGCACAGGGGCTTTGGTGGAGAGGCCGTAGGGAAGGTTTTCGAGCTCCGTGACGCGGTGGGCGAGGCGCACGGGCAGCTCCTGCTGCAGGAACTGCGCGGAGGAGAGGAGGTTGCGCTCTGTGGGGAAGGCGCCGTGCGCCATCATGTTCTTGAGACTCACGCCCGTCTGCTTCTTGAACGAACACCGGTAGATCTGGGCGGGGGGGTGGAGGGTAAAGGGGGTGTATTGTGAGTTGGATAAAAAAAGTGGTTGCGGATAGTAAAGAACTCGCCGTGAGGATCATGAGGCTCACAGCCGTCTGCTTCTTGAACGAACACCGGTAGATCTGGCCGCAGGGGCGGAGGGTAGGGGGTGAGGGGGTGTGAGGTGCCTCAAAAGCGAGGTTGCAGATCGTATGGAATGCGCCGTGCGGGATCATGAGGCTCACCCGTCTGCGCCTTGCACGAGCAACGGTAAATCTGGCGCAAGGGAGAGGATCCGCGGGGTGGAGAGGATGCGCGGGATGGAGAGGATGCGCGGGATGGAGAGATGGGGAAGCGGGGGGATGGGGAGAAAGGAGCAAGTGTGTGAAGAGGAGAGAAGAGAATGGAGTTAAGAGGAGAAATAATTATACGTGAGAAAGCATATGAAATGCGAAAGAAAGAAGAGAGAGAAAAGGAGAAGGGGAGGGGGAGAGGAGGGATGGGGGTGCACGGCTTACGTCAGCGACGACATTTGATGGTAACACTTGCGCCAGCTTTCGCGCTGACGTTCGCGCAGTCATGACGGACATCGTCGCGGTGCAGGTGGGTTCTAATGAGAAACTACTATCTGAACGTGTGCAATGCACTGTACAATGCGCGGCTGATCATTCTGTGTGCACAGGAACACTGAGAAAAAGGAACAGCGGAAACCGACTGACTAGCAAAAGCAACCTATCCGACTGTTTTCAGCTCCAGCTCCGTGTTTAGAACGTATCGGTAAATCCGCCATGGGAAGAATTGAAAGGAACACGAAATGTAGGAAGTAGACGGGCTAAACTTGTTGGCGAATGGCGTTCGCACAGACACACGCATGCAGCTCTTCAAGCCGATATGGTCAAGGGACAGCCATTCCCCGAGAGGGCAAAAGAAGGAAGCGTTTGAAAGTTACAATGGATACAAATCAAGCCAGAGGACTGGCTAACGCGTAGCTCTAAGCTAACGAAACGACTTGTGATCATGCAGGAGTCGAATAGGTAATGGCGATCACTTGCAGCAACTGACAAATCGTGCGGAATTGAGGAATAATGAAGGCTGTGTATATTAGATGGGGAGCGGTGTGATACGGTGCACGGGGTGAAACAGAAAGAAATGTGTTCGAGGTTCAATGAACCGCTCTGCCCCGTACAGGACCGTGCTAAATTTCCCTAGATTGTATTAATCGAACGTCCAGCGCAAGGTGTGGCAATTCCGCAATTTGCAGTGCCCTGATTGCTTTGCGGTCCAGTGGCAGGGAGGCCAGGACGGGGAAATGCGGGGAACGCGCGGTATGCGGAAATGCGAGGGAGGGCGGAAGGGAAAGAGCGCGGCAAATTTGGTGCGTGTTTCAGCCACGTGGGCCAAAGGTTTCGGCTTCATCGCTGGTTGCTCAACGCGCGGGAAATCCCAGCATTCCAGCTTCCCAGCCGCCAGGATGCCCAGTGAAAACACGTGGTGGTGAAGGAAGGTGAAAAACGTACGAGAGGCAGTCCAGCGCGTGCGTTTTCTCTTGAGGTACAGTTCATTATGTGCGGTTTAAAAGGTTGCATCACGGTGCAAGACGGCGGAGATTTGAAAACCGCTTTGAAACTTTTGATACCGTCTCTGACCGAGACGGATAAACTTTATATTCCTGAAAACGTACGCGCTGGACCCACCCTTAGGCTACACTCTTTATCGTGCACAGACTGGACCCACCACTCATCTGCTTTGGTACAGTTGAGTTGAGTGAGCAAATGAGTAGTAGACTATGATCAAGTTATAAAAATTCAACTGTAAACATAGTAGCACCAAGTCATGAAAACCGTAACGGACACAAGCCAAATGCTGGAATTTTGGCGCAAAATTTTTAGTAAAAAAAATAAATACCTTTATTGATTACATCAGCATTTTCGTCTAGTGTCACACTACTCTAGCTATCTCTAAAAGTAGCTAAGAGCTATTTTGTAAAGAAGAACAAAGGCACTAAGAAATCCCTTTCGGAATGGATTATAAAAGGTACACTGAAAATATCATGGCAACCTTGAAATTGATTCCCTTTGTTGACGTGGCATGTTCAATGGTGTTCTTTACGCCAGTAAGCTCTCGCTGGCAAGGCTTCAAGCAAATTTGGTCAGGCGAGAATTCAGGTCGTGTTTTATAACTTCCAGAAGGGGACTTCTATGGACTTCAGGCTGTTACGAACTACCAGTTTCGTAACAAACGAAGCCTTTTTGACCTTTTTGCGACGGAAAGCGAAGCCTTATTAAGCAATCACTGTGCGTTCTTTCTAACGACAGTGATCGAAGCTGTTTGGAAGGCATTTGTTACGAAGTCCGAGATGCGTCATGATTTCAGATCTTGTTTCAGGTTTCGGTTTACAGTTCGACTTTGAAGTGATTTGAGTGCCCAAACCATCATGAAAATACGCCCATGGGTTTCTAGCTTTGGCGGACCACTTTGCGCCCCGTCAGTCATCAAACATTTCTTGCTCATAGGGGAAAGCGCGATTCGAAAGGTGTCTGAGGCCGAGAAATTCCCTCTCTTCCGAGGTGCCTTTACTCCCCTAGCGGAACCGCTTCGGCGGTATGGGAATTCCCGCTTGTTTCACCTTCCCAAGGCAGTCAGTGCACCCACAGCTTATCCCACAGGCCCGTTCGACGATCGTGAAATCCACTTGCTCCCATGCACCCAGCTATCACTATATAAGCTTACTTGACTTCCAATAACAGTCACCTATCCTTCACGCCTAGTACTTTCTCTGCTGTCTTCGAAACACTCTTCATACGTTCTGTTTTCTGCGACATTGACCAGAGCTCACATAGAGTTTCATGTGCAAGCCGCCATGAAGAGTCTCAAGTTTCTCTCCCTGCTGTTCGCGCTCTCCCTTCTCCTGTCCCTCGTGCTCGCGCCACTGTGCCACGCGAATGAGATCGCGAACGACGCCGAGGACGACGACGATTTTGACGACGATGATGACAACGCCCTCGTAGCAACTTCCCCCGGTAAGGCCCCCCTGTTGAATCTCGGTCCGCTTAACGACTTGTTTTTGTTAAAACGCGGATACTGATCCACACTGTCACCATCCCCGCCATGGTCTATCCCACGACGAACTGTCACCCCGCACATGGACTACACTGCTATCAGCTCCACTCAAACAGCTGGGATTCTAGAGGATTTTCTTGGTGTGCGGACAGCGACATCAATTATATGCGCTGTCATCGTCAAGCTGACCGCATGCCATTTCGCAGGCCATGCTGCTCGGAACCTAGCATTCTCGCGTCTTTGTCAGCTCATCACCGCACGTAAACCTTTGATATGCTCTTCTTTGTTGATCTTTGTCACTCACTCTGCGCTCGTCTCCTCGGTTTCCTGATACCAGGTTTCGTGGGTGCGCTCGTCAGCGGAAGCCGGCGGTTTCTGTGGTCGCCGCAGGTGCACCGCGTGCTAGCGAGCTCAGAGTGCAAGAAGAAGTGCGACAAGAAGAAGAAGAAGTGCAAGTCCAAGAACTCCGACTGCAAGTCCGACGCGGACGACAACGAGGACAAGGGCGAGTGCAAAGACAAGTACAAGAAGTGCAAGGACAAGGCCAAGCGTTGCAAGGAAAAGTGCGACTAAGTCACTGTTGCCGCATTGCAGGGGGGTTTGCGAGGTGTGGCCCTCGCATTAGGAAATCGCACGTTTCTAGATGAGTAGAAGCGGTGGTAGGTCGAAAGTTGGTACCTTACCAACTTGTTAGTCTCGTCATGAATCTGTCACTAATTATTTCTTCCTTTCGGCAAAGACGCAAGAGCTGTTCAGTGACTGTCGCCCAATGTGCATTGAATATTAGAAACTAGCAGTTGCTCGCAAGCCCACACCTTCGCAGGGAGGAAAATAACAACTTGGCTGCTTATAGTTGGCGAATGTTTGCCTTGAAACATATTTACGTGTTAATTAGCACATCACTGGACGGAAGAAAATTGAAAGACGAGCAAGCAGTAATGCATGACAGGAAAGGTGACCAACAGGTTCAGAATGAGAGAAGAGATACGGAAGTGTCTGACTGAACGAAAATCAGAGTCATTCCGGTTTTCTAATACCGTATTAGAGTGATTTTTTTGTCCGTCTAATGCCTCCAAGATTGTTATTATTTACATTTTTTACCACTCTGCTGCATCATACACGACTGCTAATGTGGTAACAGCAACTGCAGACACTGCTGCTGTTGTAGCAACAGCACGAGAAAGCTACTGTAGTGCCGGATACTGCCACTATCGTCTCAGAAGCATCTGGCATGGCTAATATTGCATCACCAGTAATGGGCGCTGCTGCTATTGTCACAGCATCAAGCCACAATGGACTGCTGCTATCACATCAGCAATATCATTACTGCTACCCCAGTACCGGTATTGTCACAGCAGTATCCAACAAGGTGGTATTTGTCACAGCAGCTAGAGTCAGCAGGCTGCGACAGCAGCAGATGATACTAATGTCACAGCAGGACACGACACCGCAGCAGTATCAGCCAATGCAGCTATTGTCACAGCAGCAATGGACACTGCTGCTATCATCACTCTCAGCGCAAATGTTATCCTGAAGTGGCCCAGTCAAGTACGGTAGATGGGACTTCCTAAGGATGAGGTTCCGAGTTCAAACCCCAATGCCGACGAGTTCTGCCTGGCCTCCAGAAGGGGGTTTCGCACTGCTCATCACGGAGTGGATACTGGTAGTTCTTGTTGGAAACAAATGATTTAACGCTTCTTGTGTGTCGCTGTCAAATGTTGTAGCCTATAGTGAGGATTGTCTTAGGGGGTACAAAACTTAGGGTTAGCTATATGTACCTCAACCAACATCAATGCATCATTCATTCCTCATTTTGACATGGTATCAGTTAGGTTAGGATCCTGTGGGATCCCGTTCCTCCGTTCATCGTTCGTTCCTCCCGAGCCTGATCCTCGCTCTCGTACGTCTCGTTCCTGTAGCTACCGAGCCTAGCGCCGGCCCTTCCGCGATAGTGTTAACTTTCCCCCGCTCCCCTTCGTCGCGGTGCTTTCCCCCGCCACGTCGCGCCCGTCCCCTTCCCCCCGTCGCGTGGCGCCCGTCCCCCCCCTCCTCCCGTCGCGTCGCGTCGCGCCCGTCCCCCTCCTCCCGTCGCGTCGCGTTCCCCCCGTCGCGTCGCGCCCGTCCCCCCCTCCCCCCGTCGCGTCGCTTTCCCCCGTCGCGTCGCGTCGCTGCCCAGGCCCGCTCCCCAGCCCGTCGCCCAGGCCCGCGCCCCAGCCCGTCGCCCCTGCCCGCGCCCTAGCCCGTCGCCCAGGCCTGCTCCCCAGCCCGTCGCCCAGGCCCGCGCCCTAGCCCGTCGCCCCTGCCCGTGCCCTAGCCCGTCGCCCAGGCCCGCGCCCCAGCCCGTCGCCCCTGCCCGCGCCCTAGCCCGTCGCCCAGGCCTGCTCCCCAGCCCGTCGCCCAGGCCCGCGCCCTAGCCCGTCGCCCTGGCCCGCGCCCTAGCCCGGCGCCCAGGCCGCCCCCACGCGCGTCGCCGCTGCGCCCCACTTCCGTTTTCCACCGCTGCGTCCGCTCCCGTTGCCTGCTGCTTCGTCCGTCGTTCACTTCCGTTGTCCAAGGGTACTGCTTAACCCTAGTCTCCCACTCGCCTACTACTGTCTCCTACTGACACTGTTGCGTTCGTTTCCGCTATGGCGACTCAGCGTGTACTTCGTTTCGACGCTGACGGTAGACCTCTTGATTTTTCCGTCTGGCTTCTTCGCGCTCGCCGTCTGTTAGAGAGTCAGGTCCAGG